TGTGCCACTTTGCTGCCACAAAGTTTATGAATCATATCTCCATAGCCAGCTTGCAGCATTATGCCATTCTGCTAGAGGACTTGCCATGTGGTGTGATCAATGGGCTAGGAAACGACTACTGCACATTGCCCTTCATGGTATGCTGAAATCAAGAGCTGAAATTACAGAGTCTGCAATTGCGAACATTCAGACAACCAAATTTGGGCCAGACTTGTCAATCATGATCTAGGTAAAGTGGATGAACTCTGTTAGAGTTAAGAACTGAAATAGTTGGAGGAACAGCTAGGCAGAGCAAAGTGCATCAGCAAAGTAGATACAGAAGTTTTGCACCTGCCCATACAAGAAATGATGCTATCCAATACTTTTGCTTTCTCTTTCACATACCTCCATATGCAAAATTAATGTATTTTCTTACAGAGTATGCAAATAAATCTTCTAAAATTATTTTCCCGTCATTGTAACAAATTCTAGATTCTAAGACAGGTCATCAAAAGGCAGGAAATTCATTGACACACACAGCTCTGAAAGAATTAAATTGGTTTTAAAGCCTTATACATTGAACAAGGCCATTGCATAATGTAATACAGCCTTCATTTCACTTCCTTGCCAAATTGCCAGACAAAAACATTGTACTTCATTGCTGGGGTGAGCACTTAGTGCATGAAACAGATCTATCAGTACACAGACAATCATGATCCTTTTCCAGAACCATTTCCAGCTTCAGAGATAATTGTATTTACTCATTTATTTGTAGCCTGTTGACCTATCCGAATCTTTAGGATCCTCAGCTGACATAGAAAGAGACAGCAGGGAGAATTCTCACATGGAGAAAGTAATGGTTGCTTTGTGAGGAGTCAACAAATGAGGACAGCTTAAAAGTTAATCCCAGATGAGGTTCCAGCACTCTGATATTCATGTCATCGTTGGAAATGGAGTTGCTGGAATGAATTTAATTTCTGTCTGCACCTTGCTAATTAAAATCCAGCTTTATAGCTCCTGCACTTCTTGTTGAATGAGTTATTAGCATGGAATCTGCTGTCAGCAAGGACTTTAAGGCTGAGTAAAACCACTTCAAACAGAGCGGATCACAGAGACTGTCAAATAATATGTGATGACATTATGATAATTAATGTAAAATGATTCTGCAATAACCCACACTGAAAACCACAGGCAGAGCCTAGATCTGTGCTCTCAGAACTCAGAAGACAGGGAAAGATCAGTCTCCAACAAGGCTGTGGAGGTTCTGCATAGCACCTTAAACAAACAATGCTAGAGTTTATCTGCTGCTATGTGGAAATGGGCACTTACTGAAAGCATGTCTTTTATTGCACATTGTTGGCAATGTCTTCATCCTCAACTATGTCTCAGGCTTCAGATTCAGCTATCACAGCCATTTTATATCTCCAGTTTTCCTCCTTTCCATCAAATGCACACTACATTCCTAATTGATGCAGCCGTCAAACCCTGACAACTTTCACTCCTCTACATGCATTATTTCTCCATCTAGGTCATCCTCTGTCCCACTCTGCCCTTTCTCAGGAGCAGTCATGGCTGTCTGGTAAAAACCCTACTGACTGGAGAAGGCAAAACATAGCCTCTGCTGTTAAAGAGGAAGATAAAGACTAGCTGGGGAACTACAAGCTGGTCAGTCTCACCTCCGTGCCTGGCCAGATCATGGGGCAGATCCCCTTGGAAATTATGCTAAGACACATGGAAAATAAGGAGGTGATTTGCTTTCTCAGATTTCTAGATGTTGTCATGTCCCTATGGACATGATCAACAAGATAGCAGTATGCCTCCACCAGCTAACAAGAAAGAAACATGACCTTTCTTAGGCCTTGTGGGATTCTGGAGAATACATATTCCAAGTTGCAGTCAGCTTGTGAGTCCTCTCAATCGAGTAACCTGGAAGAAGAACTATTTTGAGCAGGACCTTAAGCAACCACAAGCTTTTGAGCAGATCAAATAGGACATGACTCATGTGGTAGCTCTTGGGACTGTCTGGACAGGACCAACTGTGCAAAATGCAGTGTGGACTGAGACCATCCAGCCAATTCCTTATCCACCAAGTGGTCCATTGTCTGGGTTTAGATGCTGAGGAGTGTGGTCTCAGCTGGAGCCTCTAACAGAAAGCATCGGAAGAAACCCAAGGTTGCCCACAAGTGTTTTGGAGGATCAGAAGCCTACTATGCCCAGACTGAAAAAGATATTTTAGCACTGTGTGAGGGGGTTCAAGCCACTTCAGAAGTTGTTGATACAGAAATATATCTCGTCCCATGCTACACTGGATGTTCAAGAGAAACATCCCCGCTATACATCACACACCCAGTGCCACATGGAGTTGAGTTGGACATGTAGCAGACTCAACTAGGGAAACCCAACCAGCCCTACAGACTGCTGAAAAATTACCTCTATACTCTTGTGGATGGTGGCTAATGCCCTATGGGGGTGACTACAGCAGTGGAAGAGAAATTGGTAGCACAGAAGTAAACCCATCTAGGCTGCTGCATTACAACAAGACAACACTGCCCAGTTAGGAAACACAGCTCTAAAGGTACATCATGTAGATGCTCACATGCCCAAAAGCCACACCACTAAAAAACATCAAAACAATTAACAGGTAGACAAGGCTGTTAAAATTGAAGTAGCTCAGGTGGTCCTGGACTGGGAGTATAAGGGTGAGCTCAGTGGACCTCCAAAGCATGGGGGCATTTGGGAAGAGATGCAACATACAGATGGGCTTGTGATTGAGAGGTGGACCTGACCACGGAGGCTGTCACACAGGTAACTCATGAATGTGACACATTTGTTGCAATATGATAAGCCACATGAGTAAAGTGTCCCTGGAACAGAGGCTGGAGGTTGGGTTTTTAATGTGGTGAGGCCTGGCAAATTGACTATGTTGGACCACTGCCATGAATACACCAAGACAAGTGCTATATACTCAGTGTGGTGGAAGCAATTACTGGTTGGCTGGAAACATACCCATGAACTATGCCACCAGCTTGTTTTGCCTGTGATGGTAATTGTCCAGTGAGCTCCCTGTCCTTTTCTCAACCCATCAGCCTTTCATCATATTTTTCTCAGCTGAGGACAGGGAGTGATAGAGCAGTTTGGTGGGCACCTGGCAGCCAGGCAAGGTCAGCTGTCCATACCTTCTCATATAAATTCCTTACTTGTTCCTAGAAACCCAGGCTTCAACACAGAAGTTGCTTCCAAAGCATCTTCATGACATCTTAAACAATATTTGCCTCCCCAAAAAATCCAGATGTCTAACTTCTGGTTCTGAATGAATTTCTATAGGAACGACAAAGATCTTCCATGACAGCAACTTAAAGTAGGACTTTTCTTGTTTAAAAGGGAGCTTGCTGTTTTCCAAAATCTCCTGGATCCCATTGCATCTTTTAATTTTTCATGTTCATGCAGCAATCTTGTGTCCAATAAGTTACATGGCTGCACATTTACACCATCTTAGTTTCCTCTTGTCTTTGCATCAAATTTGAGCACCATTTCTTTTACATTTGAGGCCTGGTACTGCTTGCATGTTGCCTGTTTCTCTCTCCAGATATTCACATGCATTACTAATTCCTAGATTAATGGTAGTCAGAAAACAAACCAGTGTTACTGTGAATACCACATTGAAAACCTCACAACAGTGTGGAGGCATGTCATAGTGTTAAATTGAATTTAAAAAATCAAGCAGGGAAAAATACACAGAATACTCTCCCATACAAAACTGTAGTCAATGAAATGATTCTGAGACCAGGATGATCCAGCTGAATTTCTGTCTTACATGATTTTCTTTATATGATCATTATCATTCTTTTTTTTTTTACTTATTTAGGTAGGACCTTAATTCACACTCCTCTGTTCCAGTGAACATCAATGCAGACCATTTTGGAGCACCAGTTTGATCAAACAAAATTGCCAGAACATCAGACTGTAGTCTTCCATACAGTTCAGACATAATGTGCAGTCCTAGCACCTGAGCAGTTCATTTCCTGCCAACTTCGATCTGTTTTCTGTCTTTACCTCTTATGTCTCTGTTCTCAGTGGTAATTATTTTGACTTGTAGCTTTCAATAGCTGAGTCTCTTCTTCTACTGGTGACCCACAGAACTGTTCTAGGGAAGTGCTGTGGCTTAAGAAAGAAAAAGGAACTCTGAATCTGAAATTATAGGTCAGTGAGGAAGTGAAGAATCAGGTGCAGTATTATTTTAAAACCACCACACGAGAGTATTCTGAAAATAAAACCAAACAGATTTTTCAGTGAAAGAGGTGGGCTGCCTTCAACTTCTGTTATTTCTATTGGTTAGTATTTAAAATAGGCTTTTCATCCTGTCAAAACTCAGTTTCTCTCCCCAGGGTCTGGAAAGCCTTGTTGTTCAAGATAAGAACTATGCTACAGTTAGCTAAGTAGCTACTTAAGAGAAAAATAATTTAAAATGTAACTTACAGATAAGATTTGAGACTGATTTCTTTTTTATTTTTTTTAGGAAGAAACAAGGAAGAATTTTCTTGGAGGTAGTGACAAAGAAATAACAGTAGTACTAGTAATGATGAATATGAACAAGAATAAGATTGTTTCTAGTTTCCCAAGACTAACATTTCCTTTTTGATATTAAACTCAGCCTTGAATGATCTCCTCTGCCTTTACCCTCTCTGAACTCTGCTGCAGGGTTTATCTTCACTCATCAGCCTCCTGAGGAGAGCCAATGAACGGAAGGCAGAATTGTTCAATCTGTTTCCTCAGTGTTTGCCTAGGCTCTCAGCACAGGAAGCCTAGTGCTCTGAAGAGTCAGAAGGAGGAACCTCTCCAGCTCTGAAGAGCCAGTCGATGCACAGCTAGAGGAGAGGAGTGGGAAAGGGGGAGAAGAAGCACTGACACTCGCTACTGAGGATGCGCTGGCAGGCAAGAAATGCTCCCCATGACCACAGTTAGGCTGGCGGTGGGATGGATGGAGTGACAGAGCTGCCTGAGCCATGAAAGCAGGAACGAACATGAAGATTGCTGGGAAGACTGTGTGTGTGTCTCTGCTTCTCACCATCGCCATGGCCATGAGATCAGCAGGTGAGTGTAACTGGGACCAATCAGCTGTTGGTATGTGAAAAAGGGAAATGTGCCCAGCTGCTTTCTATAAAAGTCACCCATCATTCCATGGCTTTTACCGTGTGCTAAAAACTATGGAGCACAACTAAAACATGCTTTCCCAATATCCACTCCTTCTCCTTTTTTCTTAGTGGTCACAGGGCTGCCAGGCATTAATGCGTGTGACTTCAATGTAGGCAACTATTTAGTGACCCTCAGCAGGGAATGTACCATTTGTCACAGAGAGCCTTTCTTTTACTGAGACCTCCAAATCCACATTATCTGAGAAACAGATCCTTTTGACAGACTGAAAACATGCCTGGGAAAGTGTTTGTGAGCTTGAAGCTTTTGGACATGTAATTTCTGCTGAAGAGAGGCTGCAGGTACCCTGAAACATCAGGGATCTCTTGTGTCTTTCTGCAAAGTTGTGGGTCACAGATGCAGTGACAGTAGGGAGCAGTTTCTGGAATTTTGTTCTGAGGCTAATGGGCATGGCCAGTACCAAGTTGGGAAAGTCTTTTGTGCCAAAGGCACTCCAAAGCTTCTGTCTTTTAGTGAAGTTGACTTAGTTTTAATACAGTTTAGCTACAGCAATGTTTCCCACATACTGCTTAGTTACATTTTTAGAGCTTCTGCCCTTCCAGATCTCATACAGCAGTCCAGGAACCTGGTAATGAAAATAGGGATTTGAGGAGCAGTTCCAGAAACCTAAACTGTCTATGTATAGAGGAAGAAGGCAGATAGATCTATGAGATACAAATTAAACTGGGGACATCTCTGAATAATATGTAATGTGCATCTGTCCATTCCTATTACTGACAGATAGAACTAAACTACATGGACATGAGTTCTTCCATTCCACTTGGCCAGAAAGTAAAAATGTCTCCTTGGTGATATTCTAAAGTAAGACAGATTCAGTCATTACTAGCAGTGATGGAACACCCATCTATAATGTGTTTGGGTGATCAAATGAGGGATGCCAAATGGTTACCTCAGTGCTACCCATTGGAAAAAAATTGAAATGCTTTTCAGACATTATTAAGCTTTGCATCAGTGATTTCATGACAGGCACACAGGAGGTAAAACACTTGTCCCTTTTCTGTAGATAAAGAACTATCTCAAAAGAATACTGAGGAACCTGCTGAAGGTCATGCAGACAGATTTTGGTAGCATCAGAGATGGTCTACATTTTTGAATATAGCTGCTCAAAAAGTAAAGGAGTATGGGCACGCCACAAAATGTTAAAGAAAATGGGGAGACAAAGGCAAACCCTACTGGCACAAATTATTTTTTAAAATTGGCTTTGCTGGAAATATTTTTAAAAATTCAATGCCATAATGTGGGGTTTTTTTCACCAAAACCTAATTGGATAATAACTTCACGGTGTCTTGGTTAATCAATGATATTGCCCTTCAAAGACCATAGAAAAAGATGTTCAGTCAAAATCTAATTTCATGCTTCAGACCTTCCCTGCCCCATCCCAAATAAAAGCAGCCTACATTTGATGGGAAATTTCTAGCTATCACTGCTCTTAAGCTTGTTTCCTTCGATAATAGAGTGGCTCTTCTGAGCAAGATGTAGTGACAAGGTATTCTTTTCTTCAGCGACCACAGCTAAATGTGTCAATCTGATCCAATGTATGTATTTTATCCAGAGACTTTTAGTGTTGTATGTCATACACAGTGTTGTATGAAGCTGAGAAGGGACTATGTCCCTCATTCTGAAGACTGGAGCAAGCTACTATGGGTGAAATACAGTCATGCAATAATTGTTGCATGTAACCAGACTTTATCTCCATTAATATTTTCCTTTTTCCTTAGCATGTTGGTTTGTGTGGTCCAGTTAGCTTTTACTAACCAGGTAACCAGAAGGAGCAGCTCAGAAGCAAGGCTGAGGTTCCTTCATTGTTGTTTCTAGATCTGCCTCCAGATAGATCTGGATAATATGCTACTGAAGCTGCTGGTGCATGATCTCTACTAACAATCCTTTTGCAACAATCTTCATAGTAGCAGAAGTGAAAAAGACTCAAAATACTTTTGGTAGCACTTCAAATATTTCCCTAGTTTAACTAAGTACACAGAACACCCCAAGTGGTTGAGTACATTCTCCCAAGGAAAGTGGTAAGGGAGGGCAAGATCTTCCAAGAGAGGTTCATGCAGCAAATCTCTTTTCATTGAAAAAATATTTGCAGTGTTGGACTATGTAAGTCCTGCATCTGCAGTTGCATCTTGTAGCAATAAATATATCCAAGTGCTTCAGAGGAAGCCACAAGAAATCCATGTTCAGTAATGAGATGTGACTCTCTATGGTAGTTCAGTTTTATCAATAGTAAAAAACTGAAGTCAGTCACATTGCATCAGTGCTGGTGAATAAAAGTGAAGTTGATTTACAGAGCAATCTAGCTACAGTCCAAGTTTACCTGCATGCATAACTTTCTTGAATGCTACTGCTTTCATTTAGTTTCTTTCCTTGATAAAACTGATAAAATTCTCTTTCACTAGTGTATCAGTGTTTCATTGCCTTTTTACTCTCCCTGTCCAAGTGTGTTTCAGTGCTCTTGTCTTTGTTGCCTTCTCTTCTAGTTTATGGGGGAATCTTGCTCCAGATAAAAAAAAACTATTATGGTGAATTTACATTTGTCTCCATTTCCCTGTTCCTTTGCTGCTTCTTTGGTACCGTGTGCTGGAATCTTTCTGACTTCTTTTACCCTAAAACCACCTGAATCCAAACATCCTGTTTTCCTCACACAAATTCTTAAAACAGAATTCTGTACTATTAAATTAAGCTAAGGTTTTCTCAGAAGATATCTAAATTGCCCTAGTATAATCTTTAAAGTATGTCTTTGCAATACCAGAATTTTACTTTGTTGTGGTCCAAACGCAATGTCTGAATGTGTCTAGTTTCAAAATCATGGAAACAAGGAAGTTCAGTCTTGCAAGTTGACCACATATTCCATGACTGCAAAGCAGATTTTCTGTAACTGTGAATGCACTCACAGAGGCACATCTCTCACAGCTGATATATTTTGTGTTTAGAGGTACAGTCACTCATAAGAAAAATAAGTATAGGGGATCTTCTTATTCTGCTGTATCTTTGTGTAGAATAGAAAACTACTATGCTAAAGCTAAGCACTAAACAAGGCATGAATGAGAATTCAATCATATAAAAGTGAGGTCATAAGCATGTTTTCATAGCAGTCCCTTATCTGCTCTCTGGAAAGTATGAAAAAAAGGCACATAACCCACTCTTTGCAGTCAATGATCTATTTTTATTTAATATAGCAGGAAAATGCTGCTTAAGCATAAATAAACAGTGCTTGTTTTATTTTTCTTCTCATGTGGCAGAGAGGAAAAAGGCCAAGTTCAGCATGCAGAACAAAATATAAACCAATCTGCATCTGTTTCTACACTGAGAAATTGGAGGCCTTTGCACCTTGTAACACATGATGCTACTCTGACCGAAATACTACTCAATGCACTTCGACATACAGTGTAAATCCTTTTTCCTCTCATCCATTCCAGCTCACATTCTGCAAGGATGAAGATCTACTTACTTTGTGCACAGAAGTTGCTATACCAAGTTCAAAGTTTACAGCCAGACATATAATATGCATCAGCTCGTTAAATTCTGTGATGATTTATTACCAGCTGAAGATCTGGCCAACTGTTTGTTCTGTAAGCTGCATGACTCTGACACATTCTTTAAACACCAATTAATTCCTTCATTAAGGAATTGTACTCATCCTTTTTAATGCAAGTTTATATTGAGACATAGCCCATTTATGTGAGGGTAAATTACTGAATCACTGGATCGAATAGCAGTGATGAAATGAAATTGCCTTTTTTTCCCAGACATTGTATCACAAAACACTTTTCATAAACAATTTGAGCACTGAAGAAAGCACCCACTTTATTGAAAGGCTGCTTTAGTTCTGATTGAGGCAAGATTCTTTATTCAAATTTCCAGTCTAAATTTGCTGTACTACCTATTATTATTATTATATTCTGAACTGCTGATGAATTTCAGCACACATCTACCATCCTACTCATCAAGGTCAGCTGGTTCTTTTTGTGTGACATACCCATTCCTTACACTAATAATACTGTATTTTTCCTGCTTTCAACAAAATTCCCCAGACACTCCTGATACAAATATCAGTGCCATTAGTAAAAAGGTTAAAAGGAATTACTTCAAAAATGAGAAAGATTATTAGCAAACTGCCTTCAACCTGTCACCTCTGCCTTTGCTTTCTCTCCTTAATCCAGTTCTCTATCCATTACGTTTCCCTCAGTGGTCCCTCTGTTCTTCACTTTAATTTTTTTTCAAAAGTACACTGTAGCAAACCACCTCTCTAACTAGGTGAGCTTTGACATCTTTTCTTTGCCTTCAAAATCAGCTGCCTTGAAGGACTGCTTGAAATAATGCTGGCAAAAGCTGAATAGGTTTGAAGGATCATAGAAAAAGTAAAAACTAGGAACTGGCAACTGCAAAGGTATATTCCACCTTGAATGGGAAGACTGAAACTTTAGGATCATTTTAAGTTCTGTCAGTGTCCTCACCTTTCTGCAACATATAAAGTCATATTGAAGTTTGCAATCTTAAAAACATCCAGCCATGCTGTGGGCATTTCATGTTGGAGAACCAGAGCTGACAACAGCAAAGTTGCTGCTATTTCAGCTTGTTTGAAACAGCAAGAAAGAGTGGCACAGTAATGGTGGCAAGAAAAGTCCTGCAAGTGACATGGCAAGGGTTGCAGAAAAGGAATGTGTTAAAAGGAAAACAATAGAATAATTTGAATTTGAGGAAGAAAGGGATTTCTGAAGACAAGAAAAAAGCCTGACTAGAATGAAATGGGAATAGGAGATATTTTCAGTAATGATAACTATGGATAAAAAAAGTGTGTGTGAAACTAGCAATAAAGGTAAAAGTCTCTTAATGTGTCCTTTCAAAGATACATCCATGCTGAAAAAGCTATGGTCTCA